ATTTAACAAAGAAAAAATTAACCAAAAAAAAAAAATGAGTTCGCGTGCCACCTCTGACACGCGTGTCATAGGTTCGCCATCACTGCCCTAGACTTTCTCTGGGCTAAGCCCCCTGGGCCAGGACTGCGGAGCTCGCACTGTAGTGCTGTACAGTTTACAAAGCAACCCTTATCCTGTTATTTCATCTACTCCTTACTAAATGCACTCAAGAAGGCAAATCTATATTGCCATCCCGCTTTATAGGGGAGGGGCGGGACAGAGAGGTTAAGGATCTTGTCCAAGGCCTCACAGCAGCCCCAGGACCCGCCCCCAAGCTCTCTCCCCTCACAGGGCTGCCCTGTGCTATTTCTTTTCTGCACATTCAGTGTGATTCCAGGAAGGAAGCCCAAGAAAGAGCAGGACTGGGGGGTCACTTTTAGTGGGAGACATGGCGGGGGGCAGTTGCACCAGGAGCCCCCTCAGGTCCGTTCCCGGCTCCTGGTCCTTGCAATCTAGACTTTGCTTCCTCTGTTCCTGGCTCCTACCCTGGAAGCAGGAGAACTCCTAGGGCCCAGAGAGGCAGGGCAGCAGCCCCTGACCTGAGAGTACACAGAGCCGTCCTGGACATATTCCAGTGCACTTAACCCCAACCCAGAACACAGCCGAATGAAAGAAGGTACGCATTTACTCTGAGCCAACTGCGACCCAGCTCAACCGCGTTCCAAGTCACATACGATAGGTTCTGGCTCTTATTTTTTATACCTGAATGGATTTGGCAATGACTTTTAAAAATAAAAATATATTAACTGGTTCCCATTGCTTTCAGTATAAAATCCCCTTTGCAATGCTGCTTCCTCTTCCAGTAATAGCCTCCCCCACCCCTGGCCCCCACTTCCCTGCAACTGTAGGTTGCAGTCCAGCTGGGCCTACCTCAGAAGAGCTCCTAGTGCCTCCTTGTTCTCCTGTCACCTCCTACCTCTCCTGTCACCCCAGCCCAATTTATAGAGCTCGTTAACCCCCCATTCTGCATGCACTCCTCCCCAAACCAGTGAGGAAGGCACCATTTCCCCCGCCCCTCCCTGACAGCAGGAACTGGGTCTCTTCTCTCTCCCTTTCCCAGCCCAGCACTTGGTAGGCCCACAAGGAGAACCCATATCCTGTAGAGCTTATGAGTTTGAATTTGGTTCAAACCTCAGTTCCACCACTTTCCAGATATTGACCTTGAGTAAATCATTCAACCTTGTAAAAAATAAATAAGGATAATAAGATGTTGGCCAGGATGCTGCCCCAGTTCTAACCACTGGACTCTACAGCCTCCCATTCTCAAGTCAAGGATTCCACATTCCCTTCCCATGTACTTCCCCTAGAGATTCCCATCTCCTGCGGGCCAGGACTGTGCCATGTTCCTTCCTTTTTCACACGGTATCAGGCACAGTGAGGCACACAATAAACAGTGGTTGCATCAAATTCCAACAGGTACATCCAAGAAGCAACTAGATCAGACCTGACATCCAAGAGATGACCTCCAGTGAGAAGCCAGGATCAGAGAGAGGAATTGTGAGTTGGTGGCGAAGGGTGAGGGAATGAAAGCAGAGAGGAGATGAGCAGAAGGTGGAGGTGGCAGGGGAAACCTTACCAGTAGGGAGCCCAGATGGTTTCTCCCATATTGTTGTTGATATCTGGCTCCTTCGTCAAGTGTGACTTAGCTTGGAACAGAAACTTCCAGAGATGAGCCATGTCTGTGGTTTTGCAAAGCAGGTCACTTCTCTGGATTTAAACGCAGAGGTTCTTCTCTCTGGGGCTGAGGAAAGGGAAGGAGATGGTGACAGAAGGTTGATGAAGAGTTTACAGAACCGGGCCTTCTCAATAGGGTTGGTTTCCTAAAGAATCACACAAAAGCTAACATAGGTCTTGAGCAGCCACTTCAGCAATGCTGGC